ATTGAGTTTTCCATCTTTGCTAGTATACCTATAATTTCCAAGACCTTTTTTTGTTTCAGAAGCTCCTTTGTAAAGCACTCTTTTGTGTTATATACATGAAATTCCTTAACTCTCTGAGGATGATAGTTATTTGAAAATTTTAATCTCCTTTCATAACTTTGGATTCTTCCAGATGCCCTTTCCCCCCAGATTGTTCTGTTCTCTGCATTTCATGGGAAAAGCATTCTTTAAATGTTTAGTTCAGTCATTTTTAAAACAGCTTCTGTAGCCTCAAGCAACCTGGGCACAGCTGAGGTGAGGGTACAATCCTTAGTGCAGGGGATTTGGTGCAAGGCCGAGACCCCAATCACCTTACCCCCTTGGCTCCCAGCATACAGGAAGCTGTGTGTGTTATAGCAGAAAAGGCATGTCAGTTAGTGGGCTGTAGAGTGATCTGTTATATTTCTAGATCTTTTCAGGCCCATCAGATAGATATCCCAGAGAAGAGTCTCCTAATATTCTGCCCTTGGTGGGTGGGTTGTGGGTACCAGCCTGGCTACCTGCATCCTGGGAGGCTCCCACAGGGGTCAAGTTGTTTAAGGTCTCATCAGTTCACCAAATCTCCAGATTTAAGAACTAAATCCTTGTCGCCAGTTAGGCCCCAGGGTACTCCTCCCAGGCTCCTTGTGGGTTATCGTTTCTAGAAAGCAAATATCCACTCTTTGGCCGGGGTTGTGGGTGGGGGTACGGAGGTGTCTCTGCTTCTTAAATACATTTCAACTAGTCCTCTAGTTTTCAGGCCCCCTTCCGCCCCCAGTTTCACGAGTACTAGGAGCTGCCATTCCTGACCCTTTAGAGGGTTTTGCAGTGTAAATCGCCTTCCTTCTGGGTGTCCCTGCTGGTGGCTTAGGGTTTAACTCGTCTGGTCTCCTGAGCCAGTTACATTAGTCTATCTGTTTCCAGCGTCCCCAATTTTGTTTTTGTTCACCTGGATTGCAAATACTTTGTCCTTGTGGGTTTTTGTCTTAAAAAATTCCCTTTGCTGTCATTTTAGTAGATTTTGGGAGGGAGTGGAGGTAAACATGTGCATATAACCCAGCATCTTGGCCAGAATTTATGCATTACTTTTAAAATGAAAATTATAACAAGTATACATTTTTAAATGTTGCACATTAATAATAAAAGTAGAGAATAGGAAAAAGTCCTGTGAGGCATTTACATGATCTTTGGAAGAACATTACAAGGGTTTACTGAGGGATATAAAATAGGACCCTTTCCTCAGTGAGAAGATTGCACATCATACTGATTTCAGTTTCTGTCAATTGCTTTATAGGTTTAATGCAATTCTTATTTAAAAAATCAACATAAGCATTTTTCTAGGTACTTGGCAAACTTATTCTAACATTTATGTGGAAGAATAGGTGGGCAACAAATAAAGTTTTTGAGGAAGAAATATGTGGTTGTGATGGAAAAAGTCTTAACAGTCATTGAAACATGATAAAGTTTTAATAACTAAAACAGTGTCGTACTAATATAAGAAAACACAGACTAGTGAAACAGAATAGACAGACCAGAAATGGATGCTATTCTACAAAAGAACTTAAAAGCTAGGCCTATGAATCAATGGAAAAAAGAAAAAATATTCAATAAATGAAGTAAGGACAACTGATTTGTTTCTTGGTATAAAGATCAACTTAGTTCTTTATCTCACACTATATACCAAAATAAATTCTCACTATGTTGAAGAATTTTATTATGAAAAGTAATCAAATCTTACAAAAATTAGGAAAAAATATTTTCACCCCTAGTGGGATGTGGGGTTTTCAGCTTAGAAATAAAAGAGAAAAACTACAAATGAGAATATAATTAGATTTGGCTACAAAAGTAAACCGTTTGTAAAAAAAAATTAATAAGCCAATCTCAAACTTATGAGATATGTTTGCTACAGATATTCCTTTGGTGTGATGTTTTTGCATGGTGGTACTTCACTGGGATTAAAAACATTTCTTTTTATTACTTTCTTGTATCTTTTAAAAAGTAATGAGCATGACCATCCAATTAATTGAATTAATTGAAAAAAATTAACTTATTGATGAAAAAACTCACAGTAAGTGTGACTGAAACACAGAAATGAGAAAAAGAAGGAAGAATTAGGAAAGGAGGAAGAGGGATTTAAGGAGAGACGAAGTCCCTCAAAAAAGGCCATTTAAGGAAATATGGAGGAGGTGCAGGAAATACTAATCCAAGGCTGTCTTGCTTAATTCAGGTTGTGAGTCACTACCTATTTGCTTTAAAACCAGCATAGTGGTCAAGAAGGGGCAATGGTTTTCCGAGGGGGAGACACGGGGAGTGTCCATCCCAGCCGGGAGCAGAAATTCATCACTGATACTGCTTAGAATTGCCAGCACAAGTGATTATAAAAAGCAAACAAACGTAGACGATTTTCAAAAAAATAATCTACAGACAACACACTCCTTTATTGCCTGTACCTGGGAGAGAACCCCTCACCTCTGCCCTGGAGTCAGATACACTGAGGTTCAAGTCCAACGCCCCACTGAATGACAGAGGGAGATCCGTTGATGCTACACGGCCATTATTAGGTGAAAAATAGTCAAAACAAGATGATCAGGTCAGTACCCGAGGCCAAGCGGCTCATGGTTAAGAGAAGAGGCTCTGGGGTTAAACTGGGGTCAAACCCCACCTGCACCAGGAGTGACTTCGGGCAGGTGTTTGCTGTGTGAGCCTCGGTCTCCCTTCCTGTAACAGGAGGATGGCAGAAGGGCCGACTGTTACCGGGGTCGTGGGGAAGGTTAGGTGGGGTTTAGCTGGGATGATGCTGCCAAGGTGTCCAGCCGGGAGGCAGGGCACAGTCGGCGGGAGCTGCCTTTACCGCTGCTGCTGCCTCGTCATGACCAGGACAGAGGAGCAAAATCAGGGTGGACAACGGGGACAGTGTGACTAGAACCACAAGGGAGAGGTGCGGGGGAGGCAAGGAGGTAAAGAGGGTGGAAGCGGGGGAAGAGGAGATGGGAAAGAGGTGGGATGGGGGTGGGAGCGTTGAGGGCCATGTTCTGGGGAGCAGAGCAGCAGAAGGAAGGGGGAGATGGGAAACAGGTGATGGGGACACGGGACGCCTCGGGCCACCATTGGTGGCCACCACACACCTACTGTGTGTGTGGGCTGAGCTCATGGCCGTGGGGATACAGACATGGGGTAGCTGAGTCCCCACACATGGACACATGACAAAGGGGAGGCAGCCACATCCCAAAGATGTCAAGTCACCTGGAGGACATGGGGTGAGGGCAGGGGAGGGGCAGCCCCAGCTTGGAGCAAGAGAGGAGAATAGCCGGGAGCCCAGAGGGCGGAGGCCTGAGGATGAGGGAGGGGGCAGAGAAGAGGATGGGCAGGGGAGGCAGCGCAGGGCTGGGGAAGATTAAGGTGAAAAGGGGTTGATAGAGGCCTGGGGAGGAGTAGAGGGGGCAGGGAGAGGAGTTTGAGAGAAGAGAGGAAGAGGGGGCCTGGGCCAGGCCTGGGAGACAAGACCCCAGTGGCCTCCAAGAGCCTCAGGCAGGACAGCTGGACTCACGGGGGGTGATGGTGAGTGTGGTTCCGTCGATGGACTGCCACATCTTCTTGCCATTTCCCTGTGTGTCCATCTCCACCCGGCAGAAGTAGCTAGACGCATCCTCCCTCCGCAGTTTCGAGATCTGGAGGGAGCCGTTCTTCCCACCCTTTGTCCAATTCAGGAGGAGCCGGTCCTTGAAATCGTTATGGATGAACATCGGGGTCGTGTTGTAGATGAACTCCCCATGGAAGTGTTTCCATCTCCAGAATATACTCACGTTGGGAGCCCTGTGTATCCAGGAGTGATAGAAGAAGAAGGGGATGTCGATGGAGCCACCCTCGGGGGCTGAGATTTCCTTTGGTTGGTTCATCCCAAAGGCAGTGTTTGGATTGTGTTCTGCCCAGTGACCTAGAGGAGGGAGGGAAAGGGAGAGACTTTGAAGGTGACCCCAGACCGTCAGCCACCCTCATCTACAGTGGGATGTGTGACAGGTGGTAGGACTGGCCCTCTGGCCTGGGTGAGCCCCTCTCCAGGCTTGGGGCGGGGAGGAGGGTGCGGGGTTGGGGGGACCCGGCACTGTGGGACCAGCTCTTTGTTTGTTGGGGGTGGGAGGCCTGGCCGGCTACCCCAGGGGACACTTCTACAGACACCCAGCCATAGCCCCTCCCCAGGGGGGTGGTCCCTGTGGCCCTAGGCAGAGCAGGACAGTCCCGGCCTCTCACCTGCCTGCAGAGATGCCAGGGGCAGCAGCAGGGGCAGCAGCAGGGGCAGACCCATGGCCTTGCCCTCCTCCCGGGATGAGAAGACAAGCAGAGCCTTCAAGGCCAGAGGGGAGGCCTGTGGAGGGGCCGCCTGCGGGGAGTCTCAGCACCAGGAGAGCGAGGACCAGGCTCCTTCCGAGGACTGAGGAGGGTAGGGGCCTTCCCCAAACCCGCCCACCCCTGCCATGACTGACACTTCCTTTATCAATCTGGCTTCTTTTCCTATATTGCAAAAGGGCCTCTCTGTGGTCAGTGCAAAGGGAACCATGATCTAGGGCTCCCTGCCCCGCTCTGCACACTGAGGGGCTGGTCCTGACCTGGGCCAGCTGGGGCCTCTCCTCTCTCCCTCAGCTCCCTGCCTCTGCCACCCCCTTGGCATCTCCTTAGGAGTCAGTCTCTGTGTCTCTGTGTGTCTGTCTCTCCTTTTCTCTGCTTCTCTGAGTGTCTCTCTCCTCCCAGGGAAAGGGGTGACAGCAGGACCAGTTCAGGCTCCTTCAGGGAGAGGTCCACGGCCCTGAGTCCCTGCCCAGCTACAGCCCCTTAGAGAGGAGGAGGAGGGAGCTGCTGGTGGTCAAGCCTCAGCCCCCAGCCCAGGCACCAGGGGCACCAGCATGCTGGTGGTCTCTCTCTGCAGGTAGGGGACACTGCAGTGCCCCCCTTCATCCCCAGGCAGAACCAAGGCCCACCAGGCCCCTCCCGCCCTGCTCTGTTCCCTGTGTGCAGTCTCACACCCTCCCTGAGTTGAGGTGAGGGTGGGCGCAGGTTCCCACCTACCCAGAAGGTGGGCCTTCTGGAGGCCACGCCTCCACCCAGAGATGCAGGACTGGATCTGCAGGGCCCTCTGTCCTCACACTCTACAAGGAGGACACCGGGGCTCAGACACGCCCTGCCCCACGTCCAGGACTCTGAGGTGGCGGGTCCAGGACTTGAACTCCAGTCTTGCTGAGCCCACAGAGCCTTCTGCTCCTTCTGGATGCTTCCTCCTGGCTGCACCACAGAATCTCTGGGCCTCACCCTGTGAGTGCAGAGCCCTGCGGGGTGAGCCCGGAGACTGTATTTAATAACGCTTCTCAGGGGGTTCCATCTGCAGCTGTGCGACCCTGGCTCATCCAGAGCCTTCCCTGGACAGAGGGGATGAAGGTCAGAGCAGTCATGAGCCATCCAGCTGACAGTCCCTGGGACCCCCTCTGATGGAGGCCCTGCCCGCCTGTGACTGGTGGTGGGCGGGGTGAGAGATTGGGGGCTGGGAACTTTGGTGGCCCCCCAGGGCTGGCTGGGATGGAGGCTCTGCTCACCCGCTCTCCAGGATGACGTTGGCATTGGTTCACAGAATGGACCATGGGGGTGGGAGGACATGATTTGAACTTCCTTTTTCCTTTTCTCAGTTTCTTTCCCAATCCTAATAGATGTTTTCCACAGTTCTCTCATGGCCAGCCAGGTAGTCCTGGCTTTCTCTACGTGCCTGCACTTATAGGCCTCAGAGGACAGATTCTGCACTTTCATGGAACCCTCTTATCTGAGTCAAGCCCTAAACCTGCGTTTTCTCATTTTCAGCTTTACAACATTCTGTGGTGATGTATCCTTATGTTCATTTTACCCAGGGAGAAACTGAGGCCCAGAGCCTTAATGGCATGGAGAGTCCCAAACTCTCCCATTCCTGTTGGGGGAAGGGAGGATGAACTCCTGTCACCAATTCAGCCCAAGCATCTTTCAAAGTCCACAGGGAGGTGACCTCACTTACTCTGGTTCCCTCCAGGTCTGGATTTGGACCGCACTCAGGTCTGTCTGCCTCGTGAGCTTGGTGCTTACCCAAGATTGCCCCTCCCCCACCAGCCACCCCGTTAACCTCCCTCACTTCCCCTTCCTTCCACAGCCCATCCTGGGGGGTCATTCATTGTGCTTCATTCAGCCGGCCCCTTCTCAGGGTCTGGGGAAACAAAGGCAGGAGGGATGTGAGTGTGGCCCCTGAGGTGAGGCAGGACACATGAGGCAAAGAAAGAGCACAGGGAAGGGGGAGGTACGAAGGGCAAGGTCTTGGTCTCTGCTCTTTCCCGTGGGCTGTCCACGGGCCTCTGCTGACATCAGCACTCTGTGTACTTCCTCTTGTTTTGCAGGCAGGGAGGGGCCCAGAGAAGGCTTCTCCTGCCCTGGTTGGGTGCAGGCGTGCAGTGAGCCCTCCAGGAACTAGAGTCCAGCTGGGAAGGGAAGACTCTCAGCTTGCTTCACTATGTGAGGCAAGTAGAGGGAGGCCCAGGCCCCACAAAGTTGCAACAGGCAGGGATGACATCTCCCACTTCCTGTGTGTCGGGTGCTTTGCACTCGTGTTGGCCATGTTTTCTTATTTGCTGTATTCTTGATGCTCTGACATCTGGGGCCTCACTAACCAGGGAGAGACTGTCCCTCCCAGGGCTGCCAGTTCTTAGAAGAGCAATGGACGTGCCCAGGAGCTCACCTGTCATATGCAAACCAACCAGTCCAGAGCCCACGCTCCCCACCACCTCCTCCATCTGGCTCTTATGCTCCAGGAGGCCCATGTTCTTCTGCCATATTCATCCCAGGGCCAGGTGCCAGGCAACTAGGGACAGCCCGTAATCCCCAGAGCCCACAGACATTATTCATACCAGCTGATCCTAAACCTGCCTGCTCTCCCTTGCCTTGTCTTTCTCACAGAACCTACAACAAAGGCTCCTGCCCATGTTTCCCCCTCCCTCCCTCCGCCTCCTGACTGACCCTAGTGCCTCCCTGCATGGCCCTGCGTGGAGTGCTGGGCATCTTGTTTTTATGGTTTTGTGAATATAAACTGCTTCCTTCATAACAGTCATTTGCATGTGTGTCTTACCATACCTGATTAAAACACATCCAGGTTATGTTTTAAAATAGCTCTTAACTCTCCCAGCAGCCCCAGGAGGTAAGCAGGGTCTATTTTGATCCTCATTTTTATGCAGGAAGAAACTCAGGTCCCGAGTGAGATGATGAGATTTAACTGAGGTCACATCACGTGTAAATGTCTGCTGTGGCGTTGGCTCTGAGCCCAGAGCCTGTGCTCCCTACCACTTCTCCACGCAGTGATGAAGGTCAACAGCCCCTCTGGCCCCGTTAACAGCCAACGCTTCCCTTTTCTGTGTTGTCTTCCTTCTGCACAGGGAGAAGCTTGAGGACTGATTGGGACACTGGCTCAGGGGGTCCTTGTCACGTGGCACAGTGAGTGGGGCAGTCAGTGCTGACTGAATGTTTATGGAAGAAGGAGAGATCTTTAAAGGATAGGTATCTGTGTGATGATCCATGTAGCTTTCCAGGCCATGTGCAGGGTCCTCTGTGTTACCTCATCCTGTCCTCACTGGGACCCTCCAAGGGAGGTACTGTTACTACCCCCACTTTACAGATGAGAAACCCGAGGCTCAGGGAAGGGAAGTCATCTGTCCCACAGTCAACTCCAGAGGCTGCGTCTGTAGTTCCTGCTTCTGTCATATTCACAAGTTTCATCTCTGTGGGACCGAGACTTCCTCTCTTGTCAGCCTCCTTTTCATGCCACCAGGATGCATTTCAGCTCCTGGTCAATCTGACAAATGCTGATTGGGCTTCTAGGAGATGAGAGCAGAGGGCTGAGAACTGGGGATCAAAGGCTGACCCCCGACCTTGCTGAGCTCCCAGGCTGGGAGAAGTGCAGGATACTCGGAAGAATGGGACCAAGAGATCATTGTCTGCACTTCCCCTCAGAGCAGTGTGCTGGTAAGTGTTCACCAAACAATCTCTAGAAAAGGAGTCCTGATTTGTAGGCTTTTCCAATTTCCATGTGTCAAGTTAACTATTGCACGGACTGACTGTTTGTGTGCCCCCCTCACTCCAAATCCATATGTTGAAGCCCTAACCCCCAGTGTGGCTGTATTTGGAGATGCGTCCCTAAGGAAATGCTTAAGGTTGAATGAGGTCATGAGGAGGGGGCCCTGGCCCAATAGGAGTAATGTCCTCATGAGAAGTGACCCCAGAGTGCCCCCTCTGCCTCCTCCACGAATCTACATTCAGAGGCCATTGTGAACACAGGGCAGGAAGGCGGCCGCCTACAAACCAAGGGGAAGAGGCCTTAGAGTAAAACCTACCTTGTCAGCACCTGGATCTTGGGCTTCCCACCCTCCAGAACTGAGAAATACATTTCTGTTTTTTAGCCACCCTGTCTGTGCTATTTTGGTCTGACAGCCTGAGCAGATAATACGACTACCAATGTGAAATCACTGAATGTGAGTCAGGAGGAAATGTATAGCATGTGTCATTGTACAGCCTTCCCGCCGTGAGGATACAATAGCACAGTAACCTCGAGAGCATACGTAGTAGTGAACTATGGTTAAAGAAGTAGGAAATGATGAGCTTCCCTCATTTTTAATATAATTTAATTGTAAGTTTATATTATTTTATTTTTTCTTGATTAATAATTTTTTGTTGTGTAAAATATACATAACATAAAATTTACCATTTTAACCATTTAAGTGTACAGTTCACTGGCATTAAGTACACTCACACTGTTGTACACATATTATTTAATTTTTAATAATGGCTGTGTTTAACAACTGGCTTGCAACATTCCCCCAAATTTAACAGTCAGCTCCAGCACATCCCTGTCTGTGGGGTCTCCCCAGCGATCCTCAGGTTGCTTGGCAAATTTAGGATAAAAAGCCACAAAATTATCTTATTTATGTGTATTTCACAGAATTTAAATTTATGATGAATTATGATTGATATATAAATCCTCCTTTTTCTTTCTTTCCCCTCACTCCCTCCCCTTCCTCCCTCCCTCCCTCCCTCTCTCTCTCTCTCTCTCTTTGTAATATCTTCTTAGTAATCTCTCACTCTGAAAGGCTGATAATGTGCTTGCAAGTCCTGAATTGGCAAATGGATCTCAGTTAAGGTCCTGAACACTGGATGCAGTTCATCACAGCCCACAAAACTTCACGTCATTGCATGTCACTGGTCCCTGGTATCTGTTTTTGGTTTAAGACAACAGAAATTTATTGTCACAATTCTGGAGGCCAGAATCCACCATCACAATGTCATCAGGGTCATATCCCCTCTGACGCCTCTCAGAGAGGACGCTGCCCTGCCTCTTGCAGCTGCGGTGCTCCTGGCAATCCTCAGCATCCCTTGGCTTGTAGACACATTGCTTCAATCTCTACCTCCCCTGTCTATTTTTTAGTGTTACTATTGGGCTTCATTACATTCCTGATTCACAGAACTGGACCAATGGCTCCAGAGTGATCCACTGAAGGACAAAGCAAAATTGTGATGAAAAGAGTTAACGCTGAAATGAACACAAGCATGTGAGGGCAAATGAGACCCCAGGGGAGCAGGGAGGGAGTTTGTATCTGCAGAGATGAGTGAGTGAGGGTGGCGACACCAAGGACCGAAGGACAGAAAGGCATCTCCAAAATCCGGGGATGATATCTGAAAACTGGGAGTGGCCCACACCCCCAGTGCTTGCCCCCGGGACACAATCTGTCATGGGACTTGATTAAACTGTGATCTCTGTAGAAAATTAATTAGGTACAAACAAAAAGCAATGTTCTTCAGTACAAATTGGTGAATTTTGTTTCTAAAAGTGAAGAAGGTGGGGCTTCCCTGGTGGCACAGTGGTTAAGAATCCGCCTGCCAATGCAGGGGACACGGGTTTGATCCCTGGTCCGGGAAGATCCCACATGTCGCGGAGCAACTAAGCCCATGTGCCACAACTACTGAGCCCACATGCCGCAACTACTGAAGCCTACATACCTAGAGCCGGTGCTCCGCAACAAGAGAAGCCACCGCAATGAGAAACCTGTGCACTTCAAGGAAGAGTAGCCCCCGCTCGCTGCAACTAGAGAAAAGCTTGCGTGCAGCAACGGAAGACCCAATGCGGCCAAAATAAAAAAAGGTGGAGAAGGTACCAAACCTCGAGGCATTACTCAGCTGTGCTTCCTGTAGCCTAACAGGATAAAGTCCTCCTGTTGGGGCTCTGATGATAGGGCTGCCACAATGTGCCAGACGTCTTCCCTTTTCCCTCCCACGCCTACCCTGTGTGCTTGTCACCCCTGCCCTTACCCGGGGGTTGATGGACTATTGCCCCATTGTGCTCAGACAATGGGAGCAGCAGAAGGGTCCTGATCGAGGGGGTGTCTCCTGGCCCCTCCTGGGTGTGGCCCCCAGGGTGTGGTCAGGTTCACTGCGGGCTGGTCACCTTCCTTGTGGACCATAGGTTTGTCCCTACCAGTCATGGGTCCCTGGCCCAAGCACAACCAGAGGCCCACATGCCTTAGGTCAAAATATTTGAGTCTGCTCATAATCTGCTTAGTGAGAGATGTGCTGTATCTCTGCCTTTCGAAGTTGACCGTCTTAATACAAAACTGAGAAGTATGTCTTTGTACCAGTGAAAGTTAGCAAAACAGAAACAACTGTATTTAATTATTATTGCATGAGCCTACAGTTTCTGTTAATGCATTGGTGATATTTGCAAGACTTTTAAATTAAAGACATACGGAATTCTTAAATTATTACATATTTATTTTGTGAAATTTATTTTTTTCCTTCTCCCAGTAAAATCAATAAGTATGTTGTTACAATCAATACTTCACATAATTTGTTTTCCATTGACAGTAATGCCAAATTAGACATTTCTTGAATCATTGTAGTTCGGAGGTGGTTTTGTTTTATTCATTTCCTTTTGGAGAAACTTCTCTCTGTTGTGGCAGCCCCAACTAGGATCATCAATACTTTTCTTAAAGGAACACTTAGATTGGGAAATGTCCACATTTTATGCGACATGTTCACGTGGTGCGGTGTGGTCACATATCAGAAGTTCTTATTGCAGAAAATATTACAAAATGTTTTTATTTCATGATCTAAATTATCAATTATGCCATGATTTTAATCACTTTTAAAAGCAACATTGGTAGCTTGCTTTATGCATATGTCAAACCCATATATATTATATATTTTATATATGCATATATATACTGTATATATATATTCACACCCAGGCATGTATATAGATATATAATAGGACTTGTTTTAAGTTCTTCTGTGCCATGTACAACTGTTATGCACAGGGTGTTAATTCGTGAGCATCTCTGGAACCAGGAATTGGAACATGGAAAGAAGAAGGTAGGTAGTGGGTGTTTGGCACAGTTGGGAGGCAGTTACTTGTTATGCAAAAATCGATTGCCTTCAAGTTATCTGAGGGAAAGACTTCACAAGTTAATTTGTCTTTTCTGTCAGTTTGTACTCCTCTGCTGTTTCCTTCACACAGGCCCATGCACTGACAGTCCTCAATGTCAACAAGGGCATGACCCCCAGATCCTTACGGCATTTGGGTCCTGTCCCATTTGCGTCGGAACATGGGGTGAGCTGTGGGGAGAAGTACTTCTCTGGGCCCAGAAGGGTGTTAGTCATGAGTTCCCTCTTCACAGCTCCCAGGTTGCCCTGGGCCAGCAGTGGGGGCTGGATTCCAGTGACCCAGGTGTTCATGTGTCTTCTATGAATTCACTTGTGTGTTTGTTTGTTTATTTATTTATTAAAAAATATTTATTGGGACTTCCCTGGTGGCGCAGTGGTTAAGAATCCACCTGCCCATGCAGGGGACATGGGTTCGAGCTCTGGTCTAGGAAGATCCTGCATGCCACGGAACAACTAAGCCCGTGCACCACAACTATTGAGCCTGTGCTCTAGAGCCCACAAGCCACAACTACTGAGCCCACGTGCCACAACTACTGAAGCCCACATGCCTAGAGCCCGTGTTCCGCAACAATGAGAAGCCCGCGCAATGCAACTAAGAGTAGCCCCTGCTTGCCGCAACTAGAGAAAGCCTGTGCACAGCAACGAAGACCCAACATAGCCAAAAAATAAATTAATTAAATTTAATTAATTAATTAAAATACTTATTTATTTATTTGGCGGCACCAGGTCTTAGTTGTGGCATGCGGGATCTAGTTCCCTGACCAGGGATCGAACCCTGGTCCCCTGCACTGGGAGCTCGGAGTCTTAACTACTGGACCACCAGGGAAGTCCCTCACTTGTGTGTTTATGCTCAAGGCTTTCCAGAGCCTGGGGCCAGGGTAGGATCCCTCTTGCCTGAATGAAGCAGCCTTCTCCCTATAGCACACACTCTCCCCCTCCCGCTCCCCCTCCCCAGGACTGCAGGTATAAAAGCAGACTTGCTGGACTGGCCTGAGGCCACCACCCTGTCTCTTAGCATGCTTCTATACCCTGCCCACCCCTTCCTATCTAAGCATCCCTTTCTTCAGCTCTCTTCCAACTGCCTTCATCTGAGAGAGCCACCTGTTTCCAGCCAAGACCCACCCGCTTCATATCCGAGTCTGAATTCACTGTTGGCAAATGTGTGGTAGATAGGGAGACATGATCAGCAGATTTTTTTAAAAAATATATTTATTTATTTATTTTTATTTTTGGCTGTGTTGGGTCTTCGTTGCTGCACATGGGCCTTCTCCAGTTGCAGCGAGCAGGGGCTACTCTTCATTGTGGTGCGTGGGCTTCTCATTGTGGTGGCTTCTCCTGTTGCGGAGCATGGGCTCTAGGTGCGTGGGCTTCAGCAGTTGTGGCTTGTGGGCTCTAGAGCACAGGCTCAGTAGTTGTGGCCCACGGGCTTAGTTGCTCCACGGCATGTGGGATCTTCCCGGACCAGGGCTCGAACCTTTGTCCTCTGCATTGGCAGGCGGATTCTTAACCACTGCACCACCAGGGAGGCCCTG